ATCATAATATTTTATTAAATGAATAAATATAATATCAATAATAAATTTTTAATATTAATTATATAATAATATATTATATTATAAGTTTTTAATATCATGTAATATTATAATATTATAATTATAATATTTTAGTTAATTAAAGGTAGGTCATATTATCATTCCTAGTGAACCGCTTTGACTTAAAAATAGTTTATTAGTGGTTTTAAATTTTAAAATTAAAATTAACTATAAATCGATCATGTTATATGCAGATCGTTTAGGGTTTTAATTGTCAAATTTTAAATTAAAATCAAAATCATATTACATAAACCAAAACTTATTGAAAATCACACTATAATGGAGTATATATATATATATGCACAAGATTATGATACTCCTATCTCAATTATTAATAAAAAATAAAAAATGCTAACAATAATTAATTTTAAAAATTAATGCATATCATATTTAACTTTTTTAAAAAATTAAAATTTCAATTTACATTTAAAAATAAATATCACAATTTAAAATTTATAAATTCATCGATAACTAAATTTAGAAATCAATTATAAATTTTAATATAATCAGTTTCTAAATCTAAATATTAACATTTAATAAAATAAAATTTTAAATTTTAATTTTAATTTTAATTATATAAAATAACATAATTTTAAACTAAAATTTTAATTTATTCTAAAAATTAAAATGAGTATACATTTTTTTTCTTCATTTTTTATATTTTTATCTTTTCTATTAAAGTACATGTTAAATAATCTTTATATAAACAAAAGAGAACAATTTTATAAAATTGAGAAGGGGGACAGGCAGTTCCGATGTAAACTGACTGAAACCGAGTCAGTGTCTACAATTACTGTACAAAACAGTCAAAGCCGAATTAACTTCGGCCAAGAATCAACTTTTGTCTTAGATCTTCTGTGGGGGCCCACTCTTAATCTGTTTGGAGATTGAGTACGTGAGAATAAGATCGGGTACAGAGGAAAACTGCTACAGTCATTAACTGGATTTAATACAAGCGCACTTTCTCGGGCGCGTGTGTAGAGTCCGGCACAGTTATGTCGCCTCCTCGGTTTGCCCGTGCATTTCCACTTCGATTTTATGGACCTTTTTTTATTGACGGTTTTCACCCTAACCAAATCCCAGAATAACCGGGTTTGTCTACCTTTTCGCGGGTGGGTCTAGTGGATAGGGTATAATAGGGTTTAGGAATGGTAACCGGGGACCCCTTTTCATTCTCATTTTTGTCCCTGTGAATGATGGGTATGAAATATTTGATGGAGGTTAAAAATGGTTTTCGCTCTTATATTTATAGAAATGATAGTTTATTGTGGGTATTTAGAGTTTTTATCAAGTATATATA